AGTAGAGGGCTGCAGGGCAAGACATTTTAGCAACCTGTACCCTGCCCTTCTCAGATTTTGACAACCTGCAACCCGCCCTGCCCTGTAAATTTTTCGCGCACCCTGCCCTGCCCTGCCCTGTAAAAATTTTTGTAACCTTTAACCTGCCCTGCCCTGCTATACTTTATAAAAACTCTAAACTTTCATATTAATTTGTTATACAATTTTATTTAATCCATTACAAATCATAGAGTAAATAAATAAACAAAAACAAAATCACATATCTCGAAAATTTCAAATCATTAACATATCATCTATAACATTTGAACTTAATGTTCTGTATAATTTTATAAAATATGTCGTTAGTATTTAATGTGAAAAATTTATCACAGGTTGACAGGTTGCGACACTCGCATCCTGCAACCTGCCCTGTAAAAATTTTCGTAACCTTGCCCTGCCCTGCCCTGCGACCAGCTTAACCTGCAGGGCTCTAACTGTGAGATGGAAGCTTGTAGAGCGCTGTTAAAAAAAGCTTCAGGTAAGAGAACCACGGCTTTAACGATTGTCGATTTTCAGAACGCAGTTTTTCGTTCAAAACATGGTAAAGTGAAGGATCTGGGTCGAACTGCATCGTATATAGATGAATTGCAGCAGACTCATTTTGATTGAGACCATCAGCAGGATTCTTACAGTTTTCTTTAGCTACCCATACGTTTCCTTGAATATCATCAAATAAATCGGAGAATAATTCAACTGATTCCTCAAGTGAAACTATGGGCTTATCTTGATAACCACCAATAGGAGCAAGAAGACGACTAACTGGCTCATCACGAAAGTCTGTATAGCGAGAAATGGCGAGGTTTGGTTTATGAGGTGTTGCCATAATTTGAAAATTTTATATTAGTAGGAGCTTTACTTTTGATACACGAAATAAAAAAACAAGGGTTTTTAATTTCTTGCTTACTTTCCAAGTATCAATACAACGAATGAAGTGAAAAAAAAGAATTGTTAATTTTATCTACACTAGGTCTTTTAACTGAAGACTATTTAGATAAGAACGAATGAAAGAAAAATAATTTTTTAATGACGTAAACAGCCTTCTTCTATCAACAACGTTGATGAGATTGTGCTAGAAACCGAACAGAACAAAAAATAACAGTGATATGATGTGCATTGTATTTCAATTATTATGCAAATAGTTGATCTATATGGACGAGTGTGGAAATGAAAATATAATACGAACAGTGTGGGTGTGGGTGGATGGGTACGAGTTTGGGATGAGTGTATCGGGGGTGTGA